TTTGCTACCCTTCCACCTGGTCTCCTGCACACACAGTATATCTACCTTCCTTCTCTCCATCATGTCTGCCAGCTCTCTACCTTTTCCTGTCATTGTGCCAACGTTAAGAGTCCCTATTCTCAGACCTATACTCCTGCCTTTCCTCTTCTCTCTCTGTCTACGAATCCTTCTACCTCCTCTCCTTCTTTGACCAACAGTAGTCCAATTTCCGCCAGCACCCTGTAGGTCAACAGCACTGGTGGCGGTCGTTGTTAACCCGGGCCTCAACCGACACGATATGGAGTTCACACTGATGATTCACATGTTTAAATTTGGCATGTTTTTACACTGGATGCCCTTCCTGATGCAACCCTCTCTATTTATCCAGGCTTGGGACCAGCACAGAAGTCACTGGCTTGCAACCGCTGTGGATAGATTAACAGTAATGTTAACATGCCATAAGTAATATGAACATGCCATAAGAGTTATTAAATGGTCAAAAGGAGACCCAAGAATTCACATGTAAAATGTGTGCTTGTATGATGACACTGAACAATCATTCGGACATTGACTGGGGCTACGCCTCCTCATATTACCACAGTTTATTCTAGACAGGCTTCTTGTGTCTACTCAAGGAAGTGACACACCTCATTCCTTTAACAAAGAACCGGAAGTGAAAGAAGATATAGCTCTTTTCTGGGTTGCATGGGGTCAGCTGAGCACACAGGCTGAAGAATATGACTTCCTCCAACTGACAACTTCACTATGTGAAGGATGGGATTCTTCCTTTGATAGTGACAGGATAAGAGAGGGAGTTTATACTGAGCCCCAAATTCTGAAATCCCTGAGATGATTTATCACCCTGTCCAAGTCCCTGACTACTTGCTCCTGTGAATGAAATCATATTAAACAGTCATCTAGCAACAAAAAGAATCTAACTCCTTTGTTTTTCTACACTCTTGTTAAACACCCTTGGGTTTAAAGACAGATTAAATGAGATGGTTTGATACCAGGAGGCCGTGCTCTGAAAGGCAAAGCTGAGAAGTTTTCTATGTGGAATAAATGGTAAGGTGAAAATATGGGTCAGAGAGATTGAATGTTACAAACTGCCTGGGTGAATCGAGTGACAGCGCACTCTGGGTTTCAGCATTCTGAACCAAGCAACTGTGGATGTGCTTAGAGCTTAGAGAAGTTTCTCATGGGAAGAAAGTGAGAACTAGCAGGAGTGGGGTCTGTCGACTGTGGTAATATATGTGTGTGTCACAGGGTGGACAGATGTGTCTTTGGAGTTCCATAGTAGGTCATGGCAAGGCAATGAAACACAGAGTGAACCAGGTTTATTCTGAGCTATTCTGAGTGTCCCCTGCTTTATTTTGCTGTATTTTGGGCTGTTCTGTACTAATCTGTCTCATTCTATTCTGTTTTCTGTGAGCAGTTCTGTCCTGCACTGTTCTATTCTGATCTGTTTGAATCAGTTCTGTTCCATTCTATTCAATTATAATTTTTGTTGTGTTGTTCTGCTCCATTCTATTGTATTCTAGTCTATTTTATTCTATTCTGTGCTGTTCTATTCTTCCTCTCCAATACTCCATATAATTATAGCCACTGTCATCCTCAGCTAATATTTAACATCCTAAAAAAATCTCATTAATGAGGGTTCACTGGAGCTCATTTTTCAGCACTGCACACCGGAAATCAAAGTCAGAAACAGAACAGCAGAAAGGCAGAGAGAACATCTTCATTTTTAAATGTGTACCATGCCAAGGAAAGTAACGGAGTAAGCTATGAGAAGATTTTAATGACAATTAAAGGAAATGCCCACTGTAAGAATATGTTCAATAATTGGCTCATTCTCAAAACGCATTTAATTCCCAGCTCGAGGTATGGTGCCAACTAGTTATTTTCAAGGTTAAAAATAAACATAAACCACTGGGTAAGATAAGCAGCTTGTGTACAGTAATGCACACTTTCACTTGTTGGAATGTGTCCCGTACTCAAAATGTGACGTGGCTGATGTGGACTGAGGCAGCTGCTGGCAACAAGCTGTGCCTGTCAACTACAAATGTATGTCAGTGAATTTCTCTCTGCTTGAATCTGGAGGCTACAATGTTGTTGCACAAAAGGTGACTATAAAAATGTTCTTGCTGTTTGACACTTAACTGCTGGCATTAGAGTTTGATGGATGATGGTGAAGTTCTAGATTATTCTCTGTGATCAAGTTCCACAATAGCAGCGCTTGAACCCTTAACAAGGCAGCTCACTCTATAGTACTATGGTCAGTTACTGGAGCAAGAAAAATAAAAAACCAGAACTGCAAGATCCATTACCAATAGCTCCTGTGTAACCCTGTAAGTTGTGGGTTTTTGCTAGGATTTAGCACCATGCACACTGCAGGGAGGGTTTTTCGATGTGCGTGTGTGTGCCGGCGAACATGGGCATGTGTGTGGGTGTATGTGCATGTTAGAAAGAGTGAATAGCTGCCTGAGGGGGTGTGACTCATAAATGCGGCTCACAGCAGAGAGGGTCATTACACTGTTCACACACCATGGGCTCATTTCCTAAAACACAGCAGCAAATTAAGGAGAGAATGGGGTTTGGGGGGGGGGCTGCACTAAAAATAGAAACCCACACCACCCGCACTTATTTACTTATTCGGCACAAGAGCAAGGTGCACACTCTACTGTGAGCCTGCAGAGAGAGTATAATAGCTTGAAGAGATGTAGCTTTATTAATCTTGTTTTTGATTAATGAACTAAAGTGTATCAAGCTATTGAATGAAGTGTTTAGTTATGCACTGGCATTTGCATGAATCCTCACACATTTGAAAACAGAAACACACACAAAGTGATGCACACGCAGAGAAACATGTGCCAGTGAACATATTCAGCATGAGGACTATAGCTTATTTTCTGTTGTTCAAATACCATACACTGCAAAAAAAGTGTCATTGTCGTACATGAGATTGTTATGCCCACCTGTAGAATAAAAAACATAGATAATATGTCAAATAAATGAAACAATAATAAAGTGTAGGCTAATTATTTTTACATTTCACTTACTACAGCTTTCTGCTGTTCTGTTTCTGTGTACTACATTTTACTAAGGAAATACTACAAATTTTATAATCCCCCCCAAAATCATCATTGCTAATCCCTTCTGAATAGACCACCAATTATTAATGTGCAATTAATTTCCCTGGTCATAGAGGATGGTTAATGTCACAGCAAAGACGCTAATGTCAAGTAAATGTCACAGTAAAATGCCTCTTCAGACATGACGAACCATGAACACTCCTCATTCCTGCCAAACGTAGAAGTGACATACAATAAAACTGAATGAGTTTGTTTTGGACTCTTATCAATTACTACATGTTTGGCTCTGAATGAAAGACAGGAACAACAAGGGTTAAGAGGCTATAACTCTGCTAACAGCTTACCTATAGGCTTTATATTTTTCGACAGTGGCTGAGTGCTGATCTTAAACAAAATGACCAAATGTCAAGGCAAGGGAATAAGTTTCATTTCAGACCACCAAATATTACACAAATAAGTCAGGGAAAGATCCCCAATGAATGAAACAGTCCCCTATGGGTGAGCTGCTAACACTGACTACAAATTGAACAGTGTGCAATCATGCTAACACCTCTGTCAGGCTAATGAAGCATGCTAACATGCTCTCAAGATCAGCTTCAATAGGTATAATGTTTTACCACATTTACCGCATTGGTTTAATATGTCAGCATGGTAGCATTTGCTAATTGGCACTAAACACAGAGTACAGCAGTGACTGAAATGTCCTTTGTTTTGAATGTATTTATATTAGAACAACAAACACCCTGACCTGAAAGTAATGCTAGAGGAGAAGTCAAAGTGATACAATTCATCACAAGGGGAAAATGATTATCTGTACCAAGTTTCACTCTGAACTAAAACATTTCAGCCTCATGGTGGTGTTAGAGGAAGTGTCAGAGGATCATCAGTCAGTAGTCAGCCAGCTTTAAGTGCAACATCATCTTGGCAATCTGACGATGGCAACTGATGTAAGACTTTGCTCACATATGATTTCAAACCTGACCATGACTGTGAATATGTACCTGCTGGTGCTTCTCAAACTCCAGTTTGATGGGTGATTTGATGCAGTTGCAGGTGTCTTGATAGGTCTGCTTGAGAGCCAGGTCCATCAGATGCTTGTGGTAGGCTCCGGCCAGGTTACCACAAGTGAAGATGATCACATTGGCTAAAATCTGTCACATTTGCACACACACACAAAGTCATTAAAACATCCATTCATCCATCCATCCATCCATTTTCCTCTGCTTATCCGGGGCCAGGTCGCAGGGGCAGCAGTCTAAGCAAAGATGCCCAGACTTCCCTCTCTCCAGACACTTCCTCCAGCTCCTCCGGGGAAATGCAGAGGCGTTCCCAGGACAGCCGAGAGACATAGTCCCTCCAGCGTCTCCTGGGCCTTCCCCGGGCACTCCTCCTG